TGAGGGGGCTTTTGGAACTGTGAGTTACCATGGATGGTGTTGGTCGACATGATAAACTCCGACAGTCTCTCACCCTGCTCATTCCATTCCATTCCGTGAGTACCGATGTGAAGTTCTTCAGCCGTTCTTCTTGGGCCAATCTTAGCGTTGAAGTCGCCGACGATGACCTTGAAGAAGGTATGATCTTCCCTGTAGAACTTCTCCAATTCCATATAGAATGCTTCGTGTTCTTCGTCGTCGTAGATGTTGGTGCGTAGGCGACGAAGATTGTCAAAGCAGGAGTTGAACCACATCTTCTCAATCTCAAACGTCCGATTCGGGTCGTAAGGCTTTCGTACGAATCGATGTTTATGGCCAAGTGCGTGTTGACGAGGACACCCACACCGCCAACGCCTCTGCTGTCGCATGTTCCAAGGAACAGTTCTTCTCCAGTATCGAAAACGGCGTGTAGCGGGCGGTGCCTTCGTCTCGAGTTGTCGATGACGTCGTACTTAATCTTCCTGGCTTGCATCATCAGGTCTTCGATGTGAGCTTCGGATGCAAGCGTCCTTGCGTTGAAAGTACAGATCGCCATCTTAGTCCTTTCTCGTTTAGGCAGCCTATCCGGGCCCTGAGATTCTAGCAGCCTCTCCCGAGCGGTCCTACCCAACGCTGCCGTATTGGGGGCTCCCTCAGGTTCAGGGGAATGAGGCCCATCAATATGCTTGTTTCGGCATGTTGAGGCAGCCGAGTAGTTGGCCACGGTATGGGCGTAGGTAGACTCCAGGTACCACGTATCGTGGAAGCGGAACAGGTGATATTTTTGAACGCCGAAATCACCTCTCATATATTTATTTATTTTATTTATTTATTGAAGACGTGAGCAATGGCCACGTGAGAAAATTCAACAAAATCAATGGAACTTGTAACAGTCAAAATCCAAGGATACAAAAACGCAGTGTGCTATAGAATACTAAAATTAGAAATAAAAAGCAGAACAGTGCTGTAAATGAAACTGAGCAAAACAAAGCTAATTAATACTGCAAGAACGTACCAAGATACCCCTGAAAGAACAATTGTAGGATGTAAAGGTAGGACTGAAAATAAACTAATCACTAGGCATAAGCCTTGAACTAGCCAATGTATGCTATACGTTATTTGTACTTCCCAGTCACTTGAATGCAAGCTTTTGGCTGTGCCGACATGCAGGATACCAACCGCACACACACAGAGCGCACCACACACGCAAGCATGCATGGATGCGCCTGAGTGGAGACAGCTGGTATGAATCAACACAGCACTACAGAAACAGGGAGTCCATCCCCTGAATCCACCTGCGTCTCAGGGCAAGTACATGGTGGCTTTTGGTCCGCGATTTACCCCCTATCCGCCACCTGGGGTCGCGCCACGTAGCCTCGCCACCAACCGGCTCGAGATCTTTCAGTGAGAGAGGACCCTCAGTGAAAGAGATCCGGTTACACAAGTTAGGAATGATAAAACAGGAAAATGACTTATAAAGATTATTAAAGCGTTGATCACTTGCATGATGTGTATTTGGTCGCAGTCTCGGCCCCTCGCAGACGCTTGTTTCGTAAGCTCACTGAAGAGGATCAAACCAATGGCGGTTCCCTTTGTGTCACTAGATGTGTTAGGCGAACCTGCTAACATCATCAGCAGTGTATCACGATGAACGAATGCAATAGACTTAGCTTTTTGTTTGTTAACTACTGTTTTTGGCCGCAGTTCGAACTTGGTGCCCCGGTAGCGTAACTGGTAGCGCACTTGCCCGGAAAGCGAGAGGTGCGGGTTCTAGTCCCGCCTGGGGCGAAAGTTTTGTTCACAACCCAGCATTCTTGTGAAATAGACTTGGCCTTAGACGAAACGCCAGTGTTCGCATGCAGTTGTTTGAGAATGACGAAGCGTATCTGAAATAGTTCTCCTTTTGGCGGCGCTTCTTCCTGTCGCTGCTGCCACTAGTCTTCTAGCTCTTAGCGGCCTTCGCTCCCTCTGCAGACAGCTTCGGCTTCATTATGGCAGGAATGGTGGGTGAGCTTTTTTCGTAGCGGTCAAAGGCGGCGCAGGGGTTGAATCCGTCAACAGAGTCGAGTTTTTATTTTTTCAAGATTACGTAATTGGCTAACATATCTCACAGACCGTTATTATGCTGGAATTTTTTCACTTCTGCTTCTGAAAATGGAACTGTCAAAAATCATTTGTTTGAAAGATTCAAAAGTTTTTTCATTCGTGATCACCGTCAGCAGATTATTGTGTTTTTGAAAGGGAAACGAATAGGAAAAGTGATCATCTGTGTCCTTTTTATTATCGTCATTATCACTGCTATAGTGAAGCCAGAGTGACCCCCGTCGATGTGGTGGGTAGTAATTTCCGCCTTGGAGTAGATGTCGTTGATGGAGTTGACAGTGGATTTTGAAGTAGTAGGGCGAGAGCTTATGTAAAGTTGAGAATGTTTAGGCAAAATTTCATGATTTTTCAAAGATCTATGAAACCGCGAATTTCGAGATGTTTTTTTTTCATATTTACCCTGTTGTAGAGTGCCGGTATAAATTACTTCGACTGCCAAATTTCCTCGGGACCTGGCTCACACTGTGTGCAACTACTTAGGTGTCAGTCCACAGCGTTCCTAATCAAGCACGGATGTCAATCACTGCACAAGCCCCGCTCAGCACACTGGTGATGTACTCGTTTACAAACCTTAGGGACCTGGGCCCTCTCATACGATGATTTTTTTTGTGATCTCCTCTATTATCCGGATCATTTATGTTTCCATGAGATCTTCCGGTACTTTCTACTAGTATTCTGTAGGCTGAATGTACCGAACAATATGACACAACTTTATATAAATTCTAAAAACATGCATATTACCCTCAAAATGATTAGCAGTGATGACAAGAAGACATCTCAATGACAGCAATGAATGTTTTTGAGTGGACAAAGGCGACCCGTTAAAATTTAAAAGCACACAAACGAAATGCAATTGTATAGACGTATGCAACTGTTTCGGTCTGGTTTTTTTATGTTATTTATAAATTATAATATGAAATCTAGCTAAAGCGGACTTATAGGCCAAAAAAAGAGTTTGAACAGGAGATATCTCTAGGCTCAGATAAGGTCACCAAGACTTATGAATGGACTCCACAAATCCTCTCTGCTCTGATCTATTATGTCCCAGCCAATCCGGTTACAAGGAAACTATGACGACTTCGAATTCAAACTTTTTTCACAGCCGTTTAGCAAGAAGACAACTCTTACCTTACTGAAGGAATTATAATGAGGATAGCTGGATGATAACAATCACTCCATAAGTTGTCACTTCTGTAGCTAGAATTTTCTCGTTTGCCCCATACTTGATAATTCGAATAGCATAGAAATGAACTTCCTTTGGATTGTAAACCATGGCTATATTCTACATAAATGGAGGCATAACTTTTGCATACTCCGTTAGATTATAATTATCTCAAATTTTCCTATAAAAATCATGAGAAAATTTTTAGCCATCGAGAATAAAATACAATACACAAAACATTCTTGGTCGAGCTAGCTCCTCGTTATCGGTAGAGAACTGCATCTGTAGATTCGTTTAGACGAATGTAGTCCTGTAGTGTAGTCACTTAGAACGTCATCTAATCTCTGGGTGTACAAGCACGGAACACTTCAGCCTGAATTATGTTAAATAAAATAATATCGTGAGTAAATTGCGTCGCAGAAACTCTGCTCAGGAGATTACTTGCAGGTGGGTCTAACGTAGCAAGGAGGTCGTTGCCGCACAGTCGCACAGTACGAACAGGGTTCATACGATCGATAATTGATTTTTTATGTCAGGCCAGAACGAAACGAAACGAAGAAGAAGCAGAGCGAAGGTGTGCGACCTGCGTTTCTGGTGCGCTCAGAACGAATAGCGGTCAGGGCCAGGAATTAGGTTGGGTAAGCTACCGTTCCCTCCGGTCTATGTGTACATCGGGGAGCCTCCCATAAAGTTTGATTTGGATCGAGGATCAATTCAATGGATACTCAATTTATAATATCAACACCGACTAGGATGACAGTTAAGCCAAAAGCGGGAATCTTTCCGAAAATAACCGTATTCCTAAAAAAATTAAGTCATCTTCGAGATCCCTCAGCGATTTGTGCATACTTTTCCTACCGTAAACGGTGGTTTCTCTAAAGTTGATAGTTCTTTCTTAAACACAAACGTGAATTTGCATGAAAACCGTGTTAATTGTCCCGTAAAAAGAAACGCAGGAGAATCAATCGTTACGTTTATTTGCAATAAAATGCTACATGATCTTCTCTGTCCGCATTCCGTAGACCTGAACTTTCCTCCATCACTCGCTAAGAAAATTGTTGTAAGCGATAGATTATCGGTTCGATATTGGCTGATCCGCTGCTATAAAATCAGTGCTGCACTATAAAGTCGTATGAGGGTGCGTAAGAAAGTTTTTATGAATATTCATTTCAAAGGCAGTGATTACGATCATTTTGAACATCTTGAGTTGTGTCGTATGAGAGCAACCCTTTCTGCAATCCTGTCGCCACAAAACATCTGTCTGTACGGTGAAAGCTTGTGTTTGCTTATCTACAACGAGCTCAACCCGCTCGAAGTATAACAAGTGATCTGCTCGCTGAAACTTAGACGCACCGTCCCTCCTTACCCAGCATGCACTACGCTGGCGCCATGCCGGTAAGACTGATCACTACGCGGCGCTACGACACAACATGATTGCCTCAGCAGAAAACCAGTTACCCTCTACTTCGGAGAACGAGAAGAGCGCTGAGTGCAGACCACACACCACAAGTGACGACGGCCAAGAAAAGTGGCTTTTTTTTTCTTTTTCTTGGCCGTCGTCACTTGTGGTGTGTGGTCTGCACTCGACGCTCTTCTCGTTCTCCGAAATAGAGGATACCTTGCTCGATGTTAACGGTTGATGTTCCCAACCCCGGTGGTATGGAGCAAAAATCCATACCTTGTGCAGTGCTGCGACTAATGCGTAAAATGAACTTACTTGTGCTTCCGAGGTAACCGTATTGTCATCATTGCTATTTCGGCTGTTGTGTTCAAAGGAGAGATCTGCATTCCTTTTGCAAGAAACGGTTCATCAGCACTCCGAGTACGCTTGTAACGCATTTTCATGGCGTTTGAAAATTACAAGTGAATCAGAATGATAAGGTTGGGATCAGCGCGAGGGGCACAATTCGGTCAACCGTCCACAGTCATCTGAGAAATGAAAGTATGCGACTCATTAACAATGCAGAACACCACTTACATGGACTGTGTTTTCGATTTTTTTCCTTATACGGAATATCTACTCTATGGCTTTGAGTTAGACAATCTATATCTGGAAGTCTGCATGAATCTGAAACTGGTAGTGAACTCACACGGAATATGGTGTCAGAGCTGATTACGATTGTAAGTATATGGATTGGATCAGCCTCCCCAAAGATACCGATTATGCGAAGATGAGGAATATGCGTTACTGTTGAATTGGGGCATCAGGCATAAGTTGGAATAGCTTTTTTTCAACTAAAGCAAAAAGGTTCATACAGTGAATGAACTTTGACATTTGATGGTTACAAAATTCATCGGACGATTTAAAGGACGAATCCGATGAAACAACACCATTCAAATTACCTAGGTGGTGAGTGTAACGAAGAGGACAGTAACGCATCAAATGCTCAGAAACTGAGAAACATATTCGTATAGCATACTTCCTTGCCCGTTGATTCGAGCATTGATGCGACTCTCATCGCTGTGCCCTCTTCAACACTACGCTCTCTCAGCTATCTAATCACTCGCCACGTATTGAACTACGGCGAGTGATCAGATGATCGGTGGGCGGAGATCGCCGGACCCGCCAGCTTTGAGGCATGATAGGTCGCCGAGGTCAAATTTTTCCATGCGAATTGCGCGTCAGTTCGCACCCTCAGGAGGTCCGTGGGTCCCTCAACTAGGTCAGTTTCCCTTTCTTCGACCTTCATTCTAATCGTGAATTCCTCCTTTAAGCACTTTGACCTCATGTAACCACATAGAATCCAACAGATCCGCCTAGGTCAATCGAAATCACATGGGTAATTCAACCATTTGGTTAATAGCTTCCGCATCCACAATGCAATAGTTTTTGCTTCGTTGGTTTTTTTTTGCTCAGCGGATTTTGAACCCAAGGAGTGCTGCAACGTGGCTATCAACCCTACACTACTCCTTACTTCAAAACTAAACAATCAACAACCGAATTGGCCAACCTGCTTGTGCTGAGTTTACTGCCTGCCCGTTGCAGATCGCCTGTGCTGTTGTTTACTCGCATCGAAGCTGTTCGTGACATCGCAGTATAGGTGTTGTAGTCGAGATCGTCGGCATAACACACAACATTTATGAAGATGCATTATATTGCAAATCTATTACAAAAAGTCGAGTAATTAAAATAATGACTATTATGAGATGAACTTGTCGATATTTAATCAAGAAGATAAATACAACGAAAGTTAGTTGCCGAGTCGCACATTACCAGAGTTCTGATAGGTTCATTGACAGTGTAGGCGATGCTAGTTGTCGTTGAAATTTTTTCTAAACATGCATGAAATTGAATTCGAACATGACCTTTCTCCTTTTGCTAATTTTTCTCGTCGTAGGCTATTCATGAAAGGCATACTGAATGCAATTTCCCAGTGTAAGACGATTTTAAATTCAATTTTTTTTCATGGTTTTTTTGTGGATGAAATGGCTTGTTTTTGTATTGTGAGTGAGCGTGGATATGAAAGATAATTAAACAAAAGGTATATGGTTTAGACAGGAGGGATGAGTCAATACTGAGCCAATATAATCAAAATTGAGTTATTTATAGTCTATTCCCTTAACTCGGTACTATAAGACCATTATTATAATTAATGTTAAATATCAGTAATTTCGGACCTAGAAAAAGATAGAAAAGCATTCACATTGTCAATTCTCTTCGACTGGCCACGTCTACTTCGTTCGAATCATAGTAGAATTTTATAGTCCATTTGCCCACGGAGAAATGTCAGGAGACATCCGTATAAAAAGATTCTTCATCATCGATAGAAGTCGAAAATAGTTGTATCATTTGTTAAAAAGTTCAGAGCGGTCGTTTCATGATCGGCCTCCTACGAGTCACGAATTCATTAAAGGACGAATTCACGATGGGAAGCAACCCATTTCAAATTAACCTAGGGATGGTGAGTGGTACACGAAAGAAGGAAGAACCATGAGAAACGGCCCAGAACCCGAGAAATGGTACCCCTTCCTTGCCCGTTGATTCGAGCATTGATGCGACTCTCATCGCTGTGCCCTCTTCAACACTACGCTCTCTCAGCTATCTAATCACTCGCCACGTATTGAACTACGGCGAGTGATCAGATGATCGGTGGGGGATCGCCGGACCCGCACATTGCTGATTTGAGCATGAGCACTTGTCTCACTTGTGACTTTTCAACACTCTCTCACAAAGATAGGTAGGCGTGCACTTGGAGCGCGGCAATTTGAACACTAATAGTCGTCGAGGTCATTCTTCGGTCCAGTGCGCTTCGTAGTCCGACCTAGATGTTCCGCGTGTGCTTCAACTAGCAATTACTCTCTTCTTCGATCTTCATCTAATCCATGAATTTCGTTCCTTCAGTCTTGGAGCACTTCAATTGGACTTTCTCTTCAAACAGCGTTTTTCTTCAAATGCAGTTTCAGGTATGGAACTGCGCCCAGACCTAGATGAGGTTTAATACACTCCCAATACCTGAGAGACAAATTTCCTTTGTGCATTCATTATAAATGAGATCCAAAACATTCATTATAAATGAGATCCAAAACACCACCTGAAGTAAGCGCTCTTTAGATGTATATGAAAGAAATATCATAAGAATTATGTGATCAACAATCGGAAAAATTAGATTCGCTGCGATGTCTAACACTTACCCACTTAAAGGTTGATTTTAACAATTCACGGTCAGCGAAGACAACACTTGCTGACAAAGAGGTGTTCGCGTGGAACAAGCAGTCATGTGACGCAGCTTACATAAAATCTTGTAGTCGATTTTTGTTATTTTATGGTATTTCTTATATTTCAAGAATGAATAGGGATCTATAATGTTTAAGAGAGGATTCACCAACGTGCATTGAATTCGATTTTAGAAAAGTTTTTCTGAGCCGTATGAAATGTTGGTCTAATTCCCGTTTTTCTTTTTATTGCCATAAATATGTGTAAGGAAGGAAGGGAATGCTACGTGGAAGCAGAAACAAAGCGCTGTGAAAGGAAAATATATTGAAATCGGTTCTGAAGTTATTACGCACTGCAGGGGAAGTAAATAAGTTGCCTTTTCATCAAGATACTTATCTTCTCGTTTTGATCGAAATCTTATCTAAACAATCATATGCTCACCATCAGATAACTTTTGTTCATTGAACACTGCTGAAATTGTTTTGTAATATTCAATTTTTGGTTATTTACAATACGAAATAAACGGATGTAAGGGAGGCGGGCAGTTACGAAAATGCGTCGTCCTACTCGATCGTCGATCGAAAAGCGAAAAAGTCGCACGGGTGAATTTTTAACATTTCCATGACGTGATTGAGCCTATTATATTTCCATAAATCATCGAGGTTCTTAAGAAAATTGATTCCCTGAATCTATGCTCAGTCACAAGCATCAATATCCACCGATCGACAAATATCTCGGTAAACACTTTCACACTTTAGTATGAAGCGCATGTTTACAAGAACGCAACAGATCTTGCGATTGTTTACAAAGCATCACAGGTTGTCGACTGTTCTCGTGTTCTAAAATTAAACTTTACAGTATTTTTAAAAAAACCCTAAATTATCTCCTTGGTGTTGCTTTGCCTCAAGGGAACTCTCGCACGTAGGATAACACAAATCAACGTAGCGATTTAGTTCTGATTGAATAATGTAAAGGCTAATAACTCGCAATGGCAAGAATTGTGTATGGCAAGTGGTCACGCTCACCGCGCGAGCGGTCCGGGATCAAATCCTGGGTCGTGAGTCGCCGGGGCCAACCAAGCCTTCCATCCCTCCGGGGTCGGTTAATTGGTACCAGACTTGTCTGGGAGGATAAAAAACACTGACTTGTACATCGGCTGGCCCCCGCAAGTCATTGTATAGGCCACATCGCATTCAAACGCCACTACGAATGTACAAATGGAAGTAGAATGCGTGCCGCATCCCAAAAAGGGATTGATCAACGGCAAATGCTTTATCCTTTATATTCCGCAGAAACACTAACTTCAGCTGTAAAAGGAAGGTAGCTACTTCGGGGGTGAGTGTTCGATTTCCTTGTTCTCCCTCGCAAATCTTCTACTAATAGGTCATTTTCATGAAAATTTAAGCTTGCACGGACCAATTTCGACCTTACTGGTACGCATACTGGATAAGTAAGGCGGTCCTCCGGGGTTATTAGGGTAAGTAGAATTCAGTAAATTTTTTTGAAGGAGTGAGGAGGGGGTAGGACGCTGATATGTCGCCTACAAGATTGGAAATAACAAAAAGAAAACAGAAGATAAAATAAATTGATTTAAAAGTGCGGTGTTAACGATAGAAACCTTCAACGGAAAAAAGCGGAAATTGAAAGACGTTATAATTACTTCGAAAAAAATGGCACGTGAGGCTGCAAAGGCTGACAAAATCCGACAGCAGTAAAATCTTCACTAGAATTTGAAGGCAATGGCACCAGTGTCAAAGATTATGTGGAAGATCAGAGATTATGATTAAAGGCGGAGTTGCGATCGGAACGCAGCCCATTAGATTTGAGGCTGAGGCGATCAGTGGTGCCAGAATGAAGAATAAAACATGGGAAACGGCCTACAACCGAGAAAAGGGTCCCTCTACCTTATCCGTTGATTTTCTAAATATGCTACTCTCATCTTTGCTCTTCAACGGTAACGGTGTCTCTGCTTAAGCTGAAGACCTGCGGCGAGTGGCTAGCCAGTCAATGGGCGTTCCGGGCCACAAGAGCCGCGTGGGGGGGGGCTGTGCTAGATCGCCGGGCACATTACTCGATGCAAATTGAGGCTCGGTTCGCACTCTTGGGGGTTCAGCTGTTTTTCTACTAGCTAAATTTTCCCTTCCCTTGACCTTTGACCTTATTGTGAAATTCTCCTTTTACAGAAATGAAAGAACACGACAATATGGTGCCGCAAGGTTTTCCAATGACGAATTTCCGCACAAACGGTGCTCTGTGTGCATTCGCCCAGGACAAAAAAGTAAGAGAATGTAGAAGATAAAAATAAAATAATGAAAGCATGCCTGTCTGGTCATCATTTGTCGCATTTGACGCCCTTTCCACATCGTCCTTATCACAGAGCCGTTTAATACGGCCATGATCGTGAACGGGACGAGAAAATGCGTCACAACGTAAAGTATTGTATAGTATCCGATGTAATAAGCCTCTGAAAAATAAATAAATGCGATCAACGTGTACTCCACTAAAAATTACTCCGAGAAGAACTTCAAGAAATTCACATCTATAGTATATTCTATTCCATGTAGATGGTATTCCCAGAAAAACCTTTCATTAGGAAGTTTATCGTCGTATCATAGCACCGTCCTCTCACTTTTTACTCGCGGCAGTTTCGCGCCTTCTGCGCTTGGTGACCCTCCTTCTCACTCTAGAGGGACTACTTCTCAGAACCTAATCCCGACCCGTGGCTCCAACGAGCCATACAGAGAGCGAGGGAGTTGTGTAGTGACCTGACAAGGGAGGTCTTTCAGGGCAAGGTGCGCTTTTTCAAAACGGTTTTGTGCATATTGTAGGGACGCATGTAGGGAACGCAAAACCATGTTTCATTTTCGCTGAACGGTTATAGCAGTACCAAAAAAGAAGCATAAGGTACTGTTAAGGGTTCGATCCCCGTGGCGACTAAATTTTGCATTTGGGTTGGCGCCTACGGTTTGGTGCCAAATCGCGCTAAATATCAGATGTCAAATTCATCGTCAGGACCATTTTGAAGCCAACAAGTGGCCGCCAACCTTGATTGCAAAATTTAGTCGCCGCGGGGATTGAACCATCAAGAGTATTATTCACCACTTTTTTGGTACTACTAAAACCGTTCAGCGAAAACGAAACATGGTTTTGTGGTCCATACATGCGTCCCTACAACATGCAACTAAACCGTTTCCAAAAAGCGCACCTTGCCCTGAAAGACCTCCCTTGTGAGGTGGAAATTCTCACCTTTACGGCGCCAAGATCGAATCTCGCGTTCTGATAACAGCATTGCTCATGTTTCTCCTACTGTTATATAACAGCCGCTAACTTGTATAGATAAAAACGTCAGCGTCAGTATTATAAGCACCCTTTTGCCAATTTTGTTGCGTGCCATCCGAACGCTTGCACGATTCCTAGCCACATGGAGATGCACAGTGTTTTCCAATAGGACAAAGACAGTTTCATCCTCAATGGAAGCCCTCAGAGCACTTGAATTTGTCATATGTCTGCGACCACCCCGAATTCCTGGAACCACCAAAGCACTTACCGATAATTCGCTGTATCGCGAAGCCATCGTTCATATATTGCTCCATCGGGAGTGTGTCTAAATCACAAGGACTTGACTAATGACGACTCTCAGGAACTTTGGTAAGTGCAACATAAGAGTTGCCGCCACGAACGGCTGCACGACAACTCCCGCGAGATTAACGTTGCCATAAATAGTGAAAGATAACTCACATCAGTCGATATTCAAAAAATCGAGCAAAGTTATACAGCACAGCTGAGACGAAGATGCAGCACACAGCCAACCGCGATTTCTTTGGTGTGCACCACACGCGAACCTAAAAAGGCGACTATTTGGGGGTACAAGGGCATCTGAAGCTGAATCCAGAACCATAATCGGGCATCGGCCCGAAAAATTAATGAGGGACCGGCATAACAACAGCGTCGTCACGACGAGCCAAGGTCGCTGCATATAGAACCCGGTGTGCTGTGCTCTGCAGCCACTTGCAATACTCTTGCCGGACCGCCACATGGTATGTCTTGGCCTACATCCAAAAAAGTTGGAGGCTCACGTCAAGAACGGTATGTCATCGCGCTAACTTAACAACACTAGTGTCATACTCGTTACTTTTTATCTCTTTTTTGTTGAAGGCTTGCAATTAGAAATAATATGTTACCGCATACAGGCCGCGAATCAAATTCTGGAGGTAAAAGCGTACCCCATTGGTGTGGTTTTTGCACAAGAATACAAAAACTGGTGCCAGATGGGCTGGCAGTAAAGAAAGAAGGAGATGAATCTGTTGAAGACTCCTGGGTTAGGCTTGCTCACCTTCGTAGAGACGTGCTAAGGCAAGGAGAGATTGACCACAGAGAGGAGAGTACGATACGAGAGAACGCAGAAAGTGAGAGGGCGAAAGGCAACTTGCGGACGGGGAACATTGTAGCTGGCTGGAGCTAACTTTGTGAGGCTCTAGCGCCCTTGTCGTTAGTCAAGATTGTGTTTGTCATCTTGAGCCCAATCCTACAGACCGAAAGGTATCCTTCACGCGGTTTCTGCTTGGGTTGTGCCTTTAAGCTAGTAAAGTTAAGCAGACTCAATTAAATAAACTTCTTTGTGGGAGCAGGGTGAATAACGGTCGAAATCCTCGACCATGGCTCTCTACTGTGCGAGAGTAGTGTCGAGAGTGAATGTACGCGCGGAGAGCACAGACGGCTCGCGCGTGGCGAGAGTGAATGTCCGCGCGGAGAGCGTGACTGAACAGGCGAAAATCCTCGACGAGTCATCGACGAATTCTCGACCGTTTTCACCCTAGACGGGAGTGAGGTTCACCATAGACTTCGA